CCCCAAAACCCCAAAACCCCAAAACCCCGCTCATATCAATTTGATTGAATTGAGGGAAAAGTAGTTGTTAAATTTTATATTTATAAATGTAGCAAATTAAAGTGTTGTTTGTCATATGTAGTCTAAACCTATTTCTTCTCTCGAATGCTCTGTGATCCTCAGGGTTATCTAAGAGATTGTTTCAGGAGAAGTTGGGTTCTAATTATAATCAAATGCAGCAAGAATTGCCTAGGATTCTCACTCAAGTTAGTTAGACTTCCTTTGTAAAAAAATAGTTTATTAATGAAGCATATGAAACTCCAGATCAGACTTAAGATATCACAAATAGGTCATTTGATATCAACTCTAGTGATGAAGGTGGCATTAAAGATGTTAATTAAACTTAACGGAGTTATAATAATGATAGTCATTCAATAGAATATGGTAATAATGATACAGATGTTGAGGTAAAGCTGCAAATTAGGAATCAGACTTTAAATCAGCAAATAAGCCCAAGTAAAATTACCACAGATGACGGAATTTTAATGAATAAATCTTAGATCAATCAATTAAAAGTCTTTGATGCAAATACTGATTCTGAAGAATATTAGAGTGTCAAGTATAATAAGAAGTAACAGTCGAACTTTTCTGAGCAATCCCCTAATCCTATTTCCGATGGCAATACAAGCATGAAAAATTTAGTGGATGAAACTAAGGACAGTCTCAGGTATAGTAATCATAGTAGTCAGTACTTTGCATAGCCATTCGTTTTGGGATACTTCTTATAGCAAACTGAGATGACTCAGAGCAAAAATGAAATGTATCGAATTCTAAGTATCCTAGCATTTGTAACAGTCTTCATCTGCTGTGCTTGCTCTCAATGCATGGTGAGAGTCTCTAAAGAGAGTAAACTCCAGCTAAACGCTTACTATCATAAGAAAAAATTGGAGAAAAACTTCCTTATTCAGCGTTATGTAAAGCGAGAAAGGGAAGAAGCCAAAAGATATGAAAGGCAGAGACTTGATGAGGAGTTGTGAAAAATTGCGATTTTATTTTTGTTCATTAAATTTTATTTCGATTTAAATTATCTAAATTTTTGTCAGACGGGGTTTTGGGGTTTTGGGGTTTTGGGG